TATACATGGCGTCGGAATGCGTAATGCCCCCGCCTGCCGACGCGGCGTGCGCGCTGCCAGCCAAAGCCGCGTCGCTCTGTCTCCCTCGCACCCGTGCGGGACGCCCCATGAGTGCGAGAGAGACAAAATCGACTGGCGGAATGAGTCTGCTGAAGCGGAGCGCTTTTCCTCGTCGCCGAAAGGCGCCAAAGCCGAGGCCGTTTAAACACAGCGAGCCGGGCCGGCGTGTGTCGCCGGGCATCACACTGGGCGCGTAGGAATGGAACGTGTATAGTGTTAGGTTGCCTGCTGCCGCGGCGTTCCGAAGCGGAACCTTCTTTCGCGTCTTTCCTTTGAAGTCTCGGCCGGGTTCGGCACGGCAGCGCGGCAGCGCGGCGTGGGTGGCCGCGGGGGAGGGGCGGGCGGCAGACTGATTCCGAGAGTCGTTTTCGTCGCTCCGTCTCTCTCGCACTCGTCGGGTGCCGAGTGTAGGTGGGAGAGAGACGGAGCGAGGAGGGGCCCTGCGGGGCGGAGCGAGGCAAGAGGAACTGGAGCCGCTTGCGGGCTGGCGGTCGGCAGGGCGGCGGGGTGCGCGTGGCCTGTTCGGAAATTAGCCGACCTGCTCATCTCGTTTCCCTCGAGGCCTAAAGGGCTGTCGGGGCCTGTCCTATCGGCAGCGTCCAATGACAAGGCCTGCAGACTGATTCCGAGAGTCGCCGTCGTCGCTCTGTCGCTCTCGCGCTCGTGCGGAGGGAATGACTAGAACGACTCTGACATCCCCGACGAAAGGCAACAACGGCGACACGGCGACAGGTTTTATCAACGCCACCAAGACCCCTTCGGACGGCCCACCGCGGACGGCCCACCGCGACGGCCCACCGCGACGGCCCACCGCGACGGCCCAACCCGACGGCCCACCCCGACGGCCAGCCCCGACGGCCAGCCCCGACGGCCCTCCCTGATGCCCCCATATCCCACTCCCACGTCGCTTCGCGCCGCTTTTATGTTTATGGACTAAGTTTGTGGCGGTGGCGCGGCTAGTGGGCAGGCCGGGGCTGCGCCGCTACGCTGCTACGCCGGGGGACGCACGGATACCCTGTCGGTGTCTCGCGCGCGGCGCGGTCTCGCGTGCACGACGCCAAACTTGGACGCTAAGGCACAACTTTTTGCGGCGCGGATAGGCGGCGACGCCGGGCGAACGGAAAGTGTTGGCAGGGAAAGAATAAGAAAAGCGAAATGGGCGGCTGGCTGGCTGGCTGCGCCGGCGGAGTGTCGAGCCTGTCTAACGAAGCGCGCCGAGGGCGACATGCGTCACGGAGGCCGCTGGCGACTGATTCTGAGAGTCGTTCCCTTATCTCTGTCTCTCTCGCACTCATGGAGCGTCCCGTATAGGTGCGAGAGAGCGATGAAAACGACTCTAGGAATCAGTCTAATTCTGGCGCATGTTGCTGCATGTTGTCGGCGGTGCGCTGCGCGGTGGGTGCCGTCCACGGCGAAGTTGGCCGTGCTGCAGATCGGGGACCAGTCCGGCCGGCGTGGCTAATGAATAATTACTGCGCGGAGTGCGGCGTGTGCACCTGCAGACTGATTCCGAGAGTCGGCCTCGTCGCGCTGTCTCTCTCGCTCCTATACGGAACGCCCCATGAGTGCGAGAGAGACGCAGCGACGAAAACGACTCTCGGAATCAAGTCTGCGCTGTCCGACGGCGCGGGGTTTCGTACCGCCGCCGCGGTGCTGGCGGCCTCCAGGGCCACACAACACACCGGGCGTGGCGTGGCGCGGCGCCGCACTGTTCGGACCACTCTTTGACAGCCCATCAACGCGAGAGGGGCCGTGCATGAACGCGGACCCTCACCCTGCCGTGCGAGGCGAAGGAGCACTTGATGATCCAGGCGGGGCGGGGCGGGACGGTGGGAGTTTGCCGGCGGCGACCACATTTACTTTGCCAAATTAATGAAGCTGGCTGCACGGCGCGGTGCACGGCGCGGTGGTTCACGGCGACGAGGGACGAGGCCCGCACATGCCTTGCCCGGGGATTCTGCGGCTCTCTCTCGTGTGTGCAAGTTGTGGCGGCCGTGCTGGGTGCGGGCGGTGCGGGCGGTGCGGGTTGATGGTCCATTCCATTCGGTAATGAGTTAGGGACACACTCGGCGGACATACGCAGCGCGCGCGCACAGTGTGCCACACACGCTGCCACGCCCAGCGCGCGCTTCGCTCTGTTTCGCAGGGGCTGCTCGCTGCGCCGCGGCGGGCCTGGAGACCGATTCCGAGAGTCGTTTTGGTCGCTCCATCTCTCTCGCACTGGTGAGACGTCCCGTGTGGGTGCGAGAGAGACTCTGGGAATGAGTGTGCTGGCGGGGGCGGGTTCGGCCGAGGCGGGGGGTTGATTAAACAGGGCTCGGGTACCCTGTCGCGCCCGCCACGCCTCTGCCGCGCCCCTCTCAGGCCAGGGCCAGCCCCGCGCGGCCCCCTGCCGATAGAATTTGCGAGGCGAGGTCCTTCGGCGGCGGGGGGCGTGGGGGCCGCGGGGGCAGGGTCGGGAGCGCGGCCGGCACATTGTCGGCATCCTCACGGCCGTTTACCTCGGCGGGCCGGACTGACTGTATCATGGCGGCGAGGCGGCTGTCCGTTTGGTGGCAAGGCGAGCCGTCAGCCCTCGGGCCGCAGACCCATTCCGAGAGTCGCTTTCGCCGCGCCGCCTCTGCCGCACTCACGGGGCATCTCGTATGAGTGCGAGAGAGACAGGGCGACAGTCTGCTGCAGCCCTCCCACGCAGAGGCTTGTACTGCCAGTGTTTTTGTTTGCATCGCGGCTCGCCGCGGTCAGTCTGGAGTCGCTCCCCTTTTTGTCTCCTTGTTGCGGCCGAGCGGCGGGAAGGAAGGGGGAGGGGGAAGTGGTGCAAGAAGCCGTCAAGAAGTGGAGGAGGAGGCAGACAAATGGCCCAGCCAGCCAGCCGGCCGAGCGGAGCTGCCGGGGCCGCCGGAGCTGGGGCAGCAATGACGTCATGGTCGCACATTGGGGTGGCGCGGCGGCCGCGGGCCAGGGCCGGCGGGGCCCACCTTTGCCTTGGCCTAGAGTCGGCCAGGCCGGCCGGGCAGGGCTAAGCTTGGCGTGGCTTGGCGCGGCGCCGCTGCACACAACGCCACTGCTGCACTTTATGCTTTTTTTGCCACCGTCTTATTTGGGTGCGCGGGAATGGCGCGCGCTCTACGACCAGCCTGGGACTCGCCGGGACTCCAGTTGGGCTCGGCCTCGGCGGCTCGGCCGGCCGTTGCGATGTGCGATGCGGCCGGGATGGGCCGGCGGGTGGCCTGGCCAAGGCCTGGCCTGCAAACGGGCTTCGTTATCGCCCCCTCCCCTTTCTCGTTCGCCTTTTCACTGCCCCATCTCTATCTCTCACTCGCACGCGGGCACACACACACACACACACGCCCCGCTGGCCGTTATTATTCCGTTGCCTCTGCATGAATTGATTGTTTTCCTGCGCGGGTCACGTGACCACTTGGCGGGCCAGTAAAGTGTCCCGGCCCTGGCCCATCTCGCACCCCCGCACGCTGCATGGTGCAGTCCCTCCACCGTGCAGTGGTTGGCGTATTTCACGGTGCCTCCGCGCTTTCGACCCACCGGCCTCGTTTGTTTCTTTTCCGGTGTCCTGCACGGTGTCCTGCACGGTGTTCCCCACGACGTGTAGAGTTTGCGTTGTAGGATGAATCTGTGTTGCAACTCTGTGCTCTGGGTGGGTCCTCCCTGGTCCTCCCTCGCTGGGCCCCGGTTGGGGGCGACCCCGGCGGCCCCGCCCCAGACGCCCACGCAGTCCCGGACCACAGCCACGTCCCCGCCCCGCCCCGCCCCGCCCCGTGATTTGTAGCCAATGCGGTGTGCAGGGCGCAGGGCGCAGGGGTGTGGGTGTGGGTGGGATTTGTTTTTGTCACCGTTCCCTTCGCTGGGGGCCGCTGCCGCTGCTGGTGTCGGGCAGTCTCTGCTCTTTCCGCGGATGGGTTTGCGCGGCTCGGCAGCATCGATGGTTCAGTGGCGATGCCTGGACCGCCTCGGTGGGACAAGGTCTCTCCTTGCCAAAGCGCCAGTGCGTTCGTTTTGGACGTACTTGCCGACGTGTGTGTCGCGCTTTTGCTGCGTTCGCACTGTCTCCTTTTATCTGGTCGGAGTGCCTAGGCTCGGTGCGGCCGGCGCGGCCCTGCCGGGCCCTACCGGCTTACCCTTATGCGGCCCCGAACAAACATGATGAATAGGCGATACGCGACTCGGGCGGGGCGCGGCAGGGAGTAGGGCCCCGCCAGGGCCCCGCCAGGGCCCCGCCCCGACCGCACCTTGGCCTGCAGCCCGGGACGACCCGCTTGGGCCTGGCCGGGCCTGGCTGGCTGTACCTCGCAGCGCTGAGCATGTGGGACTCGATTCTGCCCGGCCTACCCACCTCGTTGGCCGTCGCCCGAACCCTCTCCCTCTCCGCGTCCGTTCTCAGGGGCTTGGCGTTCTTGCGCGGCCGGCCCTGCGTTGAGCCCGGGCTTGGCTGGGTTCTGCCAGGATGGCAGGCGGGATGCCACCCGCGATTTTCCCTCCCCTCCCCTCCGTCCCGCTCCTCCCCGCTCCGCCCCCAGCAGCTGCCCCGGCGGCCTTTCGGCGAGAATCTCTCTCTACCAATTTCGTCGATTCTTTTTCTTGCCTGCGGCGGCTCACCTGTGTGACGTCGCCCTCTCCCCGACCGCGGGGCGCGCGGCGGGGCGTGTGTGGCCCACTGTGTGGGCCGTCGCCCGTGGCGTGGCCTGGCGCACCGCGCCGACCGCTTTATCATCAGAGATTCAACTATAAATTCCACTCCCGATAAAGGTCACGGGGCCCATTACGGCGCGGTGCCTCGTCTCCCCCGTCTGGGCCGTCCGCGCGGTCCGGGCCTAGCCTCACGCGCGGACGCAGGGCGACGCAGGGTGCAGCCCGCACGCCGTCGTCGTTTTGATGTCGCTGTTGCTTCTTTGTTGTTATTGTCATTGTTGTTGTTGTTGCAGACACGCGCCGTTCGCGAGCGCCCCCAGCGACCCCCCGAGCGCCATACTCCGCAGGGTGAGCGAGGACCTGGACATGGACCACGGCAACTGGCTCGCCGTATCGGACTCGGCCAAGGTAAGTTTGTCTGTCGGTCTGTCTGTCTGTCTGTCCATCCGCCCAACTGTCCGTTTGCCTGTCTGCAACTGCGCGGCGCGCAGCCATCGGGTATTAACATTTAGCTCGTTAAACTCGACTCGGTTCGCCGCGAAGTTGTCGCGCGCAGAGGGGACTGCGGCGCGATGGCCGGGGCGGGGCGGGGCGGGGCAGTCCATTGCAGCAACTCCGGCTCGAAGCAGTGCTAACTTCCCCCAAAAATTCTCCATTTTTGTTGGTGCTGCGGTAGGCGCGCGACAAGCGTCGAATTGAGTTTGAAGTGGGGTTTCCGAGTTGACGCTTGTAACTCTCAACAATGGACAAATTGGAGTTTTAGTTGAGTTGGCACTCACCGCGTCCCCCTGTAGTTCTGCGGTCCGTCGCCGCCACTAGTGCGGTGTCCTCCACGCTGGCCTCGGCTTTGCGTCGCCGAGTCGGCGCGTCGGCGCGTCCGCCTGGGGACCGTGCATGGCCGTGCACGGCGGCGCGCGTGGAGCCAGACGAGCCCAAGTCGCTCGTGGCCGCGGGGCGCGGAGGCCGGCGACCGTCCTGGCGGGCCGTGGGCCATGGCCGTGGAGTGCAGGCCGCTTGACGCGGACGAGATCCAGCTGTGCAGCTCATCCGCTCGGCTGGCAATCTGCCTGAGCGGATTGGCGGACGGCTCACAGTGGGCCGGAAGACCGGTGGAGGCGGTCAACATCCCGGACGCGCGTTTTGAGCGCCAGAGCAGTCCCTAAATGGGACTCGAACCGAACGTGTGACCCCACCAATGAATTGCTCTCCGAACGAGGAATCCATTGGTGGGGTCAAACGTTCGGTTCGAGTCCTGTTTAGCGACTCTGGAGCTCAAAACGCGTCGAGAGTTTTTGTCGCAGGCGCCGGTCCTCTGGCCCACTGTGTGGTCCGGCCTGGCGGGGCAGCGCGAGGCTCATTATTCATTTTGCCCGCTCTTGGCGGCCGGATTGGTCGTGGGCTCCCCTGGCGGCCGAGGCCTTGCCTGGCCTGGGCCCGGCCTGGGCCTGGCGGGGTGCGGGCGTCGAGGCCGAGGCCGGTGGCGAGGCCCAGAGGCAGAGGCCGCGTCGCAAACTAGTTTGACTGGCCGCTTCGCCTCGCCCCGCCTAGGCGCGCCTGTCCCGTCCCGGGTCCTCAGTCCTTCGCACTTCGTACTTGGCGCCGCGACGGAAAAGGGCTCCGCGCCGCATTGTTCGGCCCCTTTGGCTGCCTTTGGCCGGCCCGCCCAGCCCCGCCCAGGCCCGCCCCGCTCTGCTTCGCTTTGTCGGAGTTATTGCGGAATATTGCGCGCGAGGGGCTTATGAAGTGTGAATACTAATTAATTCCCCCTCCACTCCTCGGTCCGCGCCCCGCCGCGCCCCGCCGCGGCGCAACACTTTTTTTACTTCTTTTGCGCCCCCCACTTTGCTGGCGGCCCGGGTTTTTCTCTTTGCCCCGCGTCGGAAATTGGAGGGAATGTTTGAAATGTGCTTGGTGCTGTCTCGTCGTCGTCGGCCTCGTCGGCCTTGGGGCGGACTTGACTTTTGGTGGTGTGCCGTCGTTGCGCGGCTGTGTCGCTGCGCCGCGCTGGCGCGCTGCGCGGTTCCGGCCGCTGTGTCTGCCTTTCCTTTCGGCATTCGAAACATGTTCTCATTTTTGTTGTTGCTCTCAGGACCTGGTCCGCTCGATGCTCCACGTGGACCCCAACCGGAGGCCGACGGCGGAGCAGGTGCTGAACCACCCCTGGCTGCAGCAGCGCAACCTGCTGCCGCACGCGCGCCTCAACATGCAGGAGGCCTCGGACATCAAGGTCAGCCTCGCAAAGTCGACGAAAGGGGGCAGAGCGCTCGCCTCGGCTCGCCCGCTTTTATTTGGTTAACATTTTTCTTAATGAAGTAAAGCTGGCTGCCCAAACTTGTTGGCCTAACCCTGTCTGTCTGCCTCTCTGCTGCAGGGCTCCGTGGCCGCCACGTACAAGGCCATCAGCCAGTCGCCGCGCGCCCCCAACCTGGGCCCCGTCGTCATGTCGGACCTGGCGCGCCGCCGCCGGAAGTCGCGCCCCAAGTCGTCCACCGATGTCTGAGCTGAGGGGCCGGACCGTCCGGCCGGAGCGTCGACGGCGGCCTCTGGTCCTGGCCCGCGTCCCCGCCATGGAGGTGCCTCGCACCGTGGTCGGGGAGGTCCGCGTGATTTCGGCCGCGGGCGGTGGCACCTTACCCCTTCCACCCCTCTGCCCCGGTTTCGAGCGACCGCGGCCACAACATGAATGTAACAAACTAGAACTCGAACTCGAGCACACAAGTGTCGTTCTTTCGTTTATAAAAAAAAGTTATGAATAATGAATGTGATATTGGTGTGTGTGTGTGGGTGTGAGCCGGAATGCATGGTTCCCTTTGGTTATTCTTTACCATGTTGTTGCACTTATTACTTCTTCACCCATCTCGCTTTTTTCCGTTGTCTTGATGTTGTTCTCTGCCTGTTGTTTGCCACTCCGCTTTCGGAGATGTCGTGTTGTTGAAGATTGATTGTTTTGTGATGGCGTTGGGTTCCTCATGTCAATTTGTGAGTTTGGCAACTAGTTTTGGATATCCTATTTTTTGTACATTCGTATTTCTACGAGGCTTTGCGTGTTCTTCCTCTTAAGCGCGCACCTATCGACTCTAGCCTGCCAACAGTGTGCCCAATGCAGCACTGTTTCTGCTTCTCCGAGAGAGGAACTGTGCTCTTGGCGTGCAACACTACCTGTGGCTTTTCCTCTTGTTCTTTAAGAATCAAGTATTTCTGGCGTATTTTTATCATCTAGCTTTGTGTATTCGCGGTCTGTTAATTCTTGTAACATTCCCTGACATTCCTTTACCATGTTAATTTGTAGCACACTTTTATCATGTCTCAATAAACTTGAAGCATTTTTGTACCTGAGGACAAAGTATATGGAAAGCAGAAAACAGCTGCTGTTTAAGTTTTCTGTTTTATGGTATTTTCTGTGATTATTTATTGGTTAGCCCCATGGAGTTAATTCTGTAAAGCCCTGTGCATTAGGCTGTAAGTTCCTGGATTGTAATTTCATCTATGAGAAATATTTATTCCTGTTAGTAGTGAGGTGTTTTCAAGTAAGTCATTATCATTTACTTCTTTGTTAATAATAATGTGATAATATGTCTGCATATGTGTAAAGAGACTTGTCTTTTTAGAAGACTCATCTCTGCGCTGAGTGTTAAGGAAACAATTCTTCCATAGCCGTGTAGTAATTTGACTGTTAGATCAACATATTTGGACTAGTGTTTTCCGCTTTACTTGTATTGTGCTGGAGCAAAGTTCTGCAATTTAATATAGTTTCTTTTCCATCTTGAATCCATTGTTGAATTTCTGCACCTCTACTACTGTGCAGCATCTTTTCCCCAGTCTTTTAAAAGTCTTTCTCGTGTGTGGCATTAAGTCTATATCTTTCTGTTAAGAGTGCAAAGGAGCATATATTAAATATGTGCATGTAATGTAGCTGTTGTATTTTTCCCCCTTTTTTACTTATTGTGTCCGTTATCAGTCAATTTGTTATGATTTTAATAAAATATAACATAATTATTCCCGTAGTCGTGCTTTTCGTTTTTACCCCCCGCCCCATCGTCGCCCCAAAGACGGGCGTCGTTTGAATGGTGCGGCTCCGGCGCATCGTAGGCACGTAGACACCGAGGCGAGGCGCCTTGCCTTTCTGCCTCCGTTCCAGCATTTCTCGCCGACGTCTTGCAGGCGGCCCGGGCGAGGGGGGGGGGGGGGCATTTCGCTGCGAGGTTAAGGTCATCATGAAAGATTCTCTCTCGGCAGTGCCGGATCATTAGCTGCTCGGCTAGGCGAGGCCTCCGTGCCACGGCGCCAGCGCTCCCACCTTGCGCGCCTTGCGCGTGCACTTGCCCACGACGTGCCCGCCTTGCTCGGGTGCTTGCCGGCGAAGCGCGAAGCTTGCGCGAAGCTTGCGCGACGATCTGTGGGGAAAGGGCTCGAATGCCTTGAATGAACGCTGCGAATGCCGGCACACCAGAAAGAGGCCCTCTATCCCTCTAGACGAGGTGCACGCTCTGCTTGCTCGGGGCGCGGTCCTGGTCGCGCGCGGTGCTCCCCAAAGCGCTTTCCATCGCGGCCTCCACGCCCGACGAAGCCACCCTCACGGCGCGGCCTCGGCCTCGGCTTACCTGCCCGCCTGCCTGCCGGGCCGACTTGGCCGGGCCGACTGCACCCCTGACCTTCTTAAGGCGCGGTCCTGAGCCGCCAGCGGCGCAGACCACGTCAGCGGCGCGTGGCGTGGCCCGCCGAGTATTCCCTGCAGCATCTAAAGGGAAGAAAAAAAAAGAAGTAAAAGCACGTTAAAGCTTTGCGCTAATAACGTCAAAGCTAATGGCAACACGCCGTTATTATCATTTTCATTTTTTCCCACCAGCGAAACGACACGTGGCACGTGGGTTCATTCGTGTGCGCCATTCGTAAAAGCTTTTTTCAAAAATTTACCGAGGCAGAAAAAAAAGGGAGCAGGATGACCACCGCAAAGCATAACAAACCTCCACCTGTTTGCGGAAGTTTTCTGCTCGGGGGCGGCCGCCGGCCAGAGCATGCGCGGCGCCCCGCGAAACAAAAACAAGCAAAAAAACTTCCCAAAACAAATGAGGGTTTGTTACGTTCTGCGGCGCGGCCATCTTCGTTTCTTTGCAACTTTCCCCTGTTACTAATGTAGCACCTGCTGAAAAGGAGAAGCGCGAGGAGAAGAGGCAAGTAGTTCCTCGGAGGTCTTTTTTTTCGCCTCGGCCGAGGTGCCCGTCTTGCTGTCTGCCGTCGTCGAAGGGAAAGGGACCCCCACCCCCGCGTCTCTTTCTCTTTCTCTCTCTCTCTCTCTCTCTCTCTCTCTCCCCTCCTCCCCCCCCCCCCCCTGTTGCTGGAACGGCAACGGCCTACTCGTGGCCAATGAAGCTCGCGGGCCTGGTGCGTGTGTGTCTGTGTGTGTCGCAGGCACCAGGCAGGCATCTCACGTAGCGAACAGGGACCTAACTCAGCCCGGATGGGGCCCGGCCCGGCCCGCTCGGGGCTCGGGACTCGAGGCCCCCAGATGGGGCAGGGCAGACTCGATCGGGTAAGACCGTCGTCACCAGAGTCTGGCTGCGTGCTGCGAGCCGCGCGCCGAACTTGCGGCGGGGCGGCACGCCACTGTTGGAAAGGCTCGGGGGAAAATCAGAGTCGGCTAATTCTAAGAGCGACCAAGAGGCGCGCATTCTCGGGAAAAAAGGGCACTTTGGCCGCGGCTTAAGGGATACGTTCTGTTCTACTTTCGGCTCGGCTATCGCTCACGGGGGGCCGGTCGTCTCGTGTCTCGTCTCGTCCCGGCATGCCAGTGACATTTGGGCGTTGCGACACGTCCCTGGAGGCGCTCAAGGCACTCGGGGCAGTCTCTGACGTCCCCGCCAGATTACATCGGCCATCGGCCGCACCGATGCTCGCGGGAAGCTTCGTGCCGCTGCAAAACAACACGCCCGCTCCCTCGCTGGCTCCACTCACTTGGCTGCGGAGGTATCGCTGAGCGCGTGAGAGGAGAGAGAGAGAGAGAGAGAGAGAGAGAGAGAGAGAGAGAGAGAGAGAGAGAGAGAGAGAGAGAGAGAGAGCGGGAGTTTGTTCTTGTAATCAGTCAGGAGGGAGTGGGCGGAGAAATGACCGCCCCGTGGGGCCGTGGGGCCGTTGGCGCCGCGCCCGCCGCGCCCGCCGCGTCCCTCCACGTCCCCTCCCTTATGTTGTTGATCACTCCGACCACATCACATCCATCGGGCGTGAAGCGCTTGATTTCCCGCCGGCCATGGCCTGGAACGCCGCGCCGGGAATGGCGCGCCTGGAACGCCTGGAAGGCCTGGAACCTGGAGGCGAGGTGGGCCGGTGGGCCACGGAGCGGCGACCTTCAACCTTTCATTATTTTGCTCTCGCGGGCTTCATTTCTCTGCCTCAAGGGTAGCCGGGCCGGGGCAGCCGGATGGGGCAGCCGGGACGTCGACGTCGGCACGGTCGCCGTTTTGCGGCGGCAGCGCGGCAGCAACCCCGTCCCGCCGTCATAAAGGCAACAACAACATCAACAACAACGGGGCCGTGGCACGCCGCCTCGCCTCGGCGGCCCAAACGACCGACTTATCTTGCAGACGAAAACGAAAATCCGCGGTCGCTGCCGGCGGACTGCAGCCATGCAGGGCGAGGAAGGGTGAGGAAGAGCGAGGCAGGGGGCCGCACGTCCTCGTCCTCGTCCTCCTCGACGGCGGGGCTGCGTGGCGGCGCGCTGACGCTTATCGCAACGGCGAGCTCGAGCAGTGCCTCAGCAAAACAGTGCCCGAGCAGTACCGAACCAGTGCCTGAGCAGCGCGCGGCGCGCGTGGGCGGAGAAGATGCAGCCTCCATCAACAACTCCGCACGAGCAAACTTTTAAAGAAAGTAGTGCGCAATAGGAGCAGACAGCGCGGAAGGAGGAGGGGGGGGGAGGGGCTCAGGTCGTCGCGAGGGGGCGGCCGGGCCGAGGAAAAGGGGGGGGGGGTCTACAGCACACTAAAAGGGCGCGTATCAGATATCAATGGGAGGGAGAGAGAGAGAGAGAGAGAGAGAGAGAGAGAGAGAAGAGAGAGAGAGAGAGAGAGGCCACCCATAGAGTTATTGGAAACCCGAGAGGCTTTTTCGACACGGCGTATTCGTCGAACCAGCAGGCCCACTCATTTGTCCGGGCCGTCCTCCGGGCCGTGCTCCGGGCCGCGCGGCCGGGCAGACCTGCGGATAAGGCCGGCGACGGCGAGCTTCAAGTCCTTTGTCGCGTGCTGATGAGGCTCGCCGCGTCAGAGAAGGGCTCCGTCCTGGTGGCGCGTGCGGGCGCGTGTGTCATCGGCAGACAGACAAAGCGCCGCCGCCTCTCCGTACCCGGCGGTATCCAGCAAGGCGGGGCGTGGCGGGCGGCATTACAAGGGGATTGAGACGTGTCAGCAGCAGCAGCAGCTGGATGAGACGCTTCTGGGAGACAGTGTGCTTTGCCTGCTCGGCCGTGTGTGGACGTGTGCGCGGCGTCTTTCATCACGCCGCCGTGTTCTTCCGTGCCGCGTCCGTGCCGCGTCCGTGCCGCGTCCGTGCCGCGTCCGTGCCCCCGGCTCCAAGACGGAGCGCGAAGGTCGCGCAGGTCGCAGCTTCGCGGCGGCTCCTGCCCGGTTTCTGTTTTTGCCCGGATGAACACCCTATTAGGAAAGGCGACACACTGCGAGCGTCGTGTCGTTCGTCGGCGGCGGGCAAGGTGGAAGGGAACTATCACTGCGGAGGCAAAGAGAGAGAGAGAGAGGGGGGTGGATGGGGGGAGGGGAAGGGGGGAGAGAACACCGAGGCGACCGGACGCCACTTTTCAGCAGGCAACGTCACGGGCTCGCGGGGCGCGGGGCGTGGAGTGGGGCATTCAGGTGTGTTTTTCTTTTGTTGTCGAGAAACCCTACGCGTGCTGCAATCCCTTCGTGAAGTTCAAGTTCCCTGCTCGGCGAGGGTCCCGGCGGCGTTTCGGCGGGCCTTCGGTTCCGGGAGAGCGAGGCGCTACGCGCTGAACGCAACGCGCTAAACGCAACGCGCTGCGTGGAGGCGCGGCCGCCCGGCGCCACGCCGCCGACGCGCCACCCAGCCGAGGATAATACAGTGGCGGATCGGGCCGATTTCGGGTTTCGGCTGGAGTCGCGTTTCGGCCGTTTCGGGGAATTCCCCACGGTAACAAGGAAAGCTCAAGAGGCCGAGGCTTTGCAGTGGAGCGGAGACCGGCCGCGCCCTGGGCGTGACGCGCTACGGCCGCTACGCGCTGCCGCCGGCATGCCGCCCGGGGAAGGCGATCAAGAAAACGGTCGACTTCGATCCTGCTTCTAATAACAGCCAGAAAAGTGTGTGGTTTTAAGCGGCGTGCACGCGGTGGCGCCGTTCGCCTCGCCACCTGTTGGCCTTCTCGACCAAGGCCCCAGCCCCGCGCTGTCTCTCTCGCACCTCTACCGGGCGCCCCATGCGTGCGAGGGAGACAGAGCGACGATGGCGACCCTCGGAATGAGCGTGCTGCCCCCTCGGGGGCTCGGCGGGGGCTCGGTTCGCGTTGCGGCATGGCGTCGCCGGTACCTCCAACGCGGCGAGGCGAGGCGACGCTGCCACGCCATCCGGGGGCCGGGCCATCCGAGCCCCAATCCTCGACGATCCCCGCCGATTTATCACGCTGCATTATGCGCGCCTGTCCGCGGGGAGGAAGGGGGAGGCACGCCGTCGGGGAGGACGCCGTCGACGCACGGCGCCCGCTGACGCGCTGGTGACGCGGCGACGCGGCGGTTGCGTGCGAGCCTCGCGGGGGGCGGGGCGTGGGCGGGGCGGGGCGGGGCGGCGGGCCAAAAGGTCACGACGCCTGCGTCGCCGCTTCGCCGTCCCAGGAGGCCGTGAACGAGGTGACGTTCTCGGCTTGAAATTGTTTTTCAGTTTTTGCACCGCCTCCACGATGCACGTCGAGTGTCGTCCCCGAGACCACGCCGTTGGCGGTGCCCCGTGCCCCAATGCCGAGGTCTGCACAGGTAGCGCGGGCTGC